AACTCCAATGATGATAAAGTTCCAGGAAATGTGGCACAAACTGACCCTCCTGCACACATGTATAAAGCTGATTATGGTGCAATGTACGGCCAGAATTTGCGGATATGCCTCATCTCGGTGACTATGGATATTACTCATCAATAAATAATGGTGAGTTATCTTTAGGCATGGAGTTTTCAAGCAAAGAAGAAGCGATGATGGCTATCAAATATTACAATATCCGTAATTCTGTTCAGTCCAGAGTCAACCGATCGACGACTGAAAAATATGTATGCTACTGTGCCCGAAGCGAAATGGATGCAATTGGATGGTTCGCGTATCGAAATGAAGAGGAAAAACAACATATGAACTAACAGTATACAACGGTCCTCACACATGTTGTGCTGGAGGGGTCAACCAAGATAATCCCAACTTGGACTCTGAATGATATGCCAAGCCATCATGCCCATGGTAAAAGCAAGCTCTCATATAGCTGTTGCAGTATTGATTTCAACTATACAATCGCAGTATGGGGTACACCGTCTCCTATAAAAAGCTTGGTTGGCAAAACAAATGCCATTGTCAAACTTCATGGCGAATGGGATGCATCTTACAACAAACTTCCAGGTTGGTTTAGGCTGGTGCGGACGTTGAATCCTGGGATAATTGTGGACTTCAAAACCTCCTATGCATACCATAATGATCGAGTTCTTCGCGATCGATGCAAATTCTACCGGGTTTTTTGGAGTTACCCACAGTGCGTTAATGTTGCCAAATACTGCAAGCCTGTGGTCCAGATCGACGAGACTTTCTTGTATGGAAAATACAAGCAAGTTTTATTATTGGCAGTTGTCCAAGATGGAAATCGCAACATTCTTCCAGTTGCTTTTGCTCTTGTCGAAAGAGAAGATACAGATTCTTGGGCTTTTCTCCTCCGAAATTTACGTGCACATGTTATCACGAGGGAAAAAATTTGTGTCATTTCAGATCGCGGAGCTGGGATCAAAGCAGCAATGGAGTCTTTGGGTCCAATGTGGCAACCACCCTTTGTCTAACATAGGTATTGTCTCCGACACATTGCTGCGAACTATCATGGAAGGTACAAGAAGAATTATGAGCGTCAATTAATTGTGCGCATGGGTAAGTGAAAGCAAGTTAGTAAGTTATACATTTTTTGATCATTTAATTTTGCAAAGAAACAGTTAGTAATTATACATTTTTGGATCAGGTTACGAACTACTTCCTCGAACGTTTGAATCAATGCTTCAAGATTTGCGAGCGAAGAACGAGGAAGGATACGATTACATCAGCCTCATCGATAAAGAAATGTGGACGAACGCATATGATGGTGGATATCGATATGGATACATGACGACCAACTTGGCTGAGGCAATCAATTCAACCTTAAAGGGTGCACGTCATTTACCTGTAGCGGCTTTGGTAAAAACTATATATTTTCGTTTGGGGACGCTTTTTGCGAAGCTCGGGGGACAAGCTCAAACCTGGATGCAAGGCGGTCATGTCTATCACCCTAGATTAGTTGCAGATCTACAGAAAAAAATTATTGCATCAAATGGAATGTCTGTAACAAGCTTCTCTAGAAGGCATGAAATGTTTCGTGTCACAGAGTTGTCGCGACCTCTTCAAGGGATTGAAGCTGTGTCGTTAAGAGTAAATCTAAGGGATAGAACGTGCGACTGCAGGTTTTTCAAGCTCTGGAGTATCCATGCTCTCTGTGATAGCAGCTTGCTCGCATACACGTCAAGACTATAACCATTTTGTGGATCCCGTATACCTACTATCTGAAGTTTTAAGGTATACGAATTTGAGTTTCCCCCCATAGGTAATGACAAAGACCCTGATGAGGTTCAAGATTGGCTTCCGATTGTACCAATCTGAGTTTATTAAGGAGCGTGGTCGTCCAAATCCAATCGAATTTATTGCGATATGGATATTCGAGAAAGATCTAGACAAGACAGAAGATGTGGCCATTGTAGAAACCCAAGACACACTAGAAAAACATGTCCACTTTTGTTGTCATCAAGTAACAATTGATGAGGAAATGATGTATTTGTTTATCAAATAATAATTCTTGTATTTTAATTTGCATTTACTTTAAGTTAATGTCATTCGATAATTGCTGATGAAGATTAAAAAATGAACACAATCATTAAATTTTATCAAACTAATAACAATTTGGTATTTAAATACAGCAAACTTACAATAAGAATTAAATGGTAAATGATAACCAAATTACAATAACTGATATTAAATGGTAATAAACAAAATTAACTGAAATATATTAAAAAAAGTCCAACAAATTTAACCATCGTCATCGTCGTCATCGTCGTCGTCGTCGTCCTGAGCAGGTACATTAGGTTGATGAGGAGCTGATGATGATGAACCACCTCCTAGAATAAAGGACCCTGGAGGTGTATGACTGACTATCCCACCGGCCTGCGAAAACTGGAAAACCCAGACATCGCTGAGTGTGAAAACTATATAGGTGTCTGTGCTGCGGCCATGGGTGATGAGGCTGAACCCGCCAAATATTCAGTATTGAACCACAAGTCGGATCTGCAAACATATACCCATAATAGCCTCCAGGAGGGGTCATCTGTGACGGTGGCAGTGGTGGGTTCATAAAACCAGGTGAAAGCGGCGGCGGCATCTGGTAATGAAAAGGCGATGGCGGCATCATATATGGCTGCGGCATCATATATGGCTGCGGTGGCTGCTGGGAAGGTCCTGCTGGTGTAGCTGAGGATGAACCGGAAGCACCTGTTCTCCGTCCACGAGTCGGGGACGATGATGCTGTGTCGGTGAACGTCTCTGTCGACGTCGTGGAAAGGTCTGCCCTCGTGCATCCTCGGGAAGTAGAAACGGTTTCTCGTTACTGTTAAACCACTCATAATAATCCTCAGCATACATCAAAAAGTCAGTAAAATGGGCTCTCTATGTGGAAGGCGCCGATGTCGATCCTCCCACAACACGACCCACTCATGAAGCCTCACCAGCCAATCTGTATCTCTTGCCGCGTCTATCTAAGCTATGCAACTCGTTCATATTGCAAGGTACTTCCAGAATTGGTTGAAAACAAAAACTGCCGGAGCACACGATCAGTGGAGTGCCACTCGATGGTCGCATAACAGATCAGAGGGACCATCGCCATCCAACTGATGGACCCCTCAACTCAGGTGGGATCACCGCCCTCACATCATCAGTAGAATATGGCACCCATTCAAACTAAAACAAATAATATATAATTTTTATCAAAATAATAATCTAATTATATACTATAATCTAAAATCGATTTTTAAATTAAAATTCATACCTGTGTGCCAGCCTTCTGACCGATTAGTACCCTAATTTTTTCTAAATCATCAGGTAGCTCCTGATGATTTTTCCTATCAATAGACCACCTATTCAAGGAAAAAAATTTTATACGCTGTATAAAATTATTATATACAAATCAGTTTTATAATTACCTCAGAAGTAGTGGAAATACAAATGGGTTCTTCACAATGGGATATAAAAAGGGCAATAGATACCATGCCCAAGACTGCAGTAGCAGGAGACATCCGCCAATAGCATTACGTCTGTAGTCAGTGGCTCCACACTCTCCCTGTACAACAAAGCCAAAATTGCCGAGCCCCAACTGAATGATCCGGCGAGACGAAAGTCGCTAAGATGTCGCAACCACATGCAGTGAACTAGGTTGCGCGATTTGTCTGACATCAGCAACCCTCCTATCAGCTGCATAGCATGCTTGTGCATATATCTTAACCTCATCCTCAGAGGCGTCTGCGTTCAACTCCCGAAAATTGGCATATAACCAATTTAACGGTATCCTACCTCTGATAAAATTTTCCGGGATACGTCTTAGACTATCCCGACACAAAGTAGTCTAAGAACCGGAAGCTATCCCCGATCATCTCCATCCACTGAAAGCCCCAGGTGCATAGAAACATCCTCAAGTGTGATCGTGCACTCTCCGCATGGAAGATGGAATGTGTGGGTCTCCTGCCTCCACCGCTCTACTAAGGCAGAAATCAGGTCTGGCTCTATCTTACAGTGACCCTGATATCTACATATGTAACTGAATCCAGCCTCTACAAATACGACAAGACACGGCTGGGTATCACTAACTTAAGATTCCTAATAAAAGGATCTAATACATGGTCATTCTCCTAAAAATAAATAATTACAAAAATTAATTCTTAATCTAATAATCATGCATTAAATAAATCAACTAATTATTACTAATAATTTAAATTAAATTAAAACGTTAAAATGTTACCGTATCAGCAAAGTGTCGAGATATTTAATTCTTAATCTAATAATCATGCATTAAATAAATCAACTAATTATTACTAATAATTTAAATTAAATTAAAACGTTAAAATGTTATTGTATCAGCAAAATGTCGATATATTTAATTCTTAATCTAATAATCATGCATTAAATAAATTAACTAATATTACTAATAATTTAAATTAAATTAAAACGTTAAAATGTTACTGTATCAGCAAAGTGTAGAGATATGTGATTTCCATCCGAGCGAAGTAGACGTCTTCCATTATATATCTGCAAAACAATTATATTAATAAATATTAAATAAAGTAAATACATAATAGTAAAATATTATAAAATATACCTTAAAAAGAGAATATTTGAGAGAAATTTAGAGAATTTGAGAGAATTTGGTATGATAAAAGTGATTGATGATGGAGGTATTTATAGGGAGGATTGAGATGTAAGGGCCCGGGTATTTAGAGGTATAGTGCGCCCCCTGCACCGCGCTATACCCCACGTGTCAGATACGCAGGTATAGCGCGGATCAGGGGACACGCTATACCCACGTGCCAAATCACTGTATATCACGGGGCAAGGGGCATGCTTTATTGCTACGGGTGTTAGATCGAGAAATAAATCTGACCGATATTAGATCGATAAATATACCAATCACCGTGATTTATTGAGAAAATTACCTTTTTTTTTATTCCATCATTTCATCACTGACAAATAAGGTGGCAAATAATGCCCTAAAACAAGAAAACAACCTACTTTTTTTAATGAAAATGATGAAAGAAAGATTACATTTCGCAAACTAAAGCTTCTTCCAACAATATTCTGGAGCTATTCATCAAAGCAGGACTCAACCTAAACATCAGAGTGCAAAATTCCATCTCATCCAACCCACCATCTCCATTCAAATCCCCTTCCCTCACCATGCAAACCAGTTCATCATCGCTCATACTTTGCAACCCAAGCAACCCCAAGTTCCTCTTCAAGCTCTCGACGGTGATCATCCCTTTCTCCCCATCCATCAACAACCGAAACCCGTTGCACAGCTCCTTCATGAACCCTTCTGCGCCTAGCTTGTCCACCATTGCAGGGAAGAAATCCTCGAACACAATCTCATCTCGTGCTGCCATTTTCACAAAAAAGAAAAACCCTAGAAGATCCTTCAAATGGCAGACGGTGTGAGAACAGATATGGGGTATTTATAACTTTACAAATAATAAGGATGGATTGTGAGCGACAAGGAATGTACAGATAAGAGGAAGTTGTCGCAGCCGGCGTTTTGCTTGGGGTATGAACTTGAAGGCCGGCTTCGTTTTGAAAATCTTCTCTTTCCTCGAAGTTGCATGGGGGTGGTACCGTTTGGTGACGCAGTTTTTATTCTACTTCTGACCCAATGTTTTTTTTTTTGAGGTGATTTGATTAAACTGACATTATTTAATTGAATATTTATTTTTTTAGCATTGGTTGATATATATTTTTTGAAATAGTATCTTTTTGGTTGAACTGGCGAAAGGCGTGTTCCCGGAGACATGTTTTACCCGTGTTTTCGCTGAGTTGGATGCCACGTGTGGAAGGCACATCCCCGGGACGCGCTTTCACTGGATTCTGATGACTCGACTGCCACGCTGGTATTTTGTTTAATAATAAATATTTTATTTTTATTATTATTATAAATTAGTAATATATTATGTAAAGTATTTCGATTATAATGTAAGAATTATCAAATGTATTTTGTTAATGTGTGTTAAGGTGGAGTGAATTATCTACATTAATATGATAGAACAATATATGAAATCAGTTTTTATTTATTGTAGTTATAGGAAAAATGTATGAAATTATAATATTACACATATGGTTATATTATTATTTTTGATTTTGATTATCGATCTATTAATTTTATCAGTTAATTATTTAAATGTTATCAATCTAGTCATCTCTTATCAATATTTAACGAAAATATTGATGCATAAGTTAATAAATTAGTATAATTACATATTTAATCTTCAAGACTTACATATTTATGAAATTAGTCTTATTGAAAATTTAATTTAATAAATTTAATCCTCCAATCAGAACATGAAATGTGTCATCGTATACAATTTTTTTAATAACTTTTAATTTGTTTAATTTAATATTTTTCTCTACTTAGAAGGTGAAATTATTATTATATTTTAAAACTTTATAACTAATAATATTAATTATTATATTAAATAAATATATTGAAATATTTATGTATTTAAAGTTAAAAAAATTATTTAGGTGTACATACATTGACAAATTATATAAATGCAATAACATTAAATTATTATAATAAAAACATTCATTTAAATACAATATTAATACATAAGAGTTAACGATTATATGATGATAACAGAGCTGAACATTTTTTCTATTGTCCCGATGTTTCTACAATGCCACATCGTTTTTGTTCTGTTGACTTCTCCCGAATATCCATCACAATGTATTCTAGTAGATTTTGGACGACCTGAGTCCCTCAATAGCAATGGATCTGGTACAATTGTAAGCCAAGTTTGAATCTCATTTGGGTCTCTTTCGTTTCCTATGGGCGGAAACTCAAATTCATATACCTTGAATACTTGTGAAAGTTGGTATACGAGATCAACATAATTTTTGTAGTCCAAATGCGAATGTGAGCAAGCTGCAATGACATGAGAGCATGGATATTTGAGTGCTTGAAAGAAACCACAATCGCACCACCTCTCTTGCAGATTAACTCTGAAAGAGTTAGCTCCAATCCCTTGCAGCGGACGTGGCATTTCGGTTACACGAAATAATTCACGGGTGCGAGAAAAATTTGTAACTAACATCCCATTTGATGCATCCACTTTTTTCTGTAAATCAACTACTAGTCTTGGGTGGTAAATATGTCCGTTTTGCATCCAAGTAAGAGCTTGTCCACCGAGCTTTGTAAAGAGTTGACCCAAACGAAAATAAGTCGTTTTAACCAACGCCATGACTGGTAAATGACGTGCCCCCTTTAAGGTTGAATTTATTGCTTCAGCCAAGTTTGTTGTCATATGACCATAGTGATACCCCCCGTCATATGCATTTGTCCACATTTCTTTGCTGATGTCCATAATGTACTCGCACCCCTTCACTTCATCGCTCGCATAAGGTATCCACTGAAACTGAAATATAAATATACAATTCAAATAAATAAAATATTCTAATTATATCTAGCATTTTAAATTAAAATATTAATAATTAAACAGATTTAAAAACATACCTCAGACCCAGCTTTCGTATCAATAAGTAAACGAATTTCCTCTAACCCAGTAGGTATATTTTTATGGTTCTTTCTTTTCATCGACCACCTATGAAATATAATATAAACTAAATATCACCCTATTTAATTGAAAATATTTTAAATCAAAATTTAGTTCAAAAATTACCTCAACAATAAGGGAATATGTATGGTTCATTCACGATCGGGCATAAGAAAGGCATGCGGAACCACACCCATGATTGTAGAAGCAGGAGACATCCACCGATAGAAGTTTTCTTATAATTCATCGCCCGACACATTTCTCTAAAGAGAAATGCCAAAACTGTAACGCCCCAACTATATCTTCCAGCTTCATCAAAATCGATCAGATGCCGCAACCACATATAATGCACCTGGTTGCGAGATTTGTCGGGCATCATATTCCTCCAATTATTCGTAGAATATATGCCCGAGCACATGCCTTTGCTTGATCCTCTGAAGCATTTTCATTTAAAACCTCAAAATTAGCTTTCAACCAAGATAAAGCTATTCTACCTCCATTAAACTCTGGCGGAGCAGCTCCAAGATAATCAATGCACATTGACTGCCATCACCATCCGCCATACCATACATCATATTTCCGTCGACGGGAAGCCCCAGATGTATAGAGACATCCTTCAATGTAATTGTGACCTCTCCACATGGAAGGTGAAAAGTGTGTGTCTCGGGCCTCCACCTCTCAATCAGTGCAGAAATTAGGACATGTTCGAGTTTGCAACCGCCAATAATTGTTGCAATATACCCGAACTCGGCAGAAGCCAATATGGCAAAATACGTTCCGGTATCGGTATACGTGGATTTTTAATAAAAGTCTCTAAAATACGACCAGTATCCTAAATAATATACATTATAAAAAATTAAAATTAATATAAATTCATAATAACTTTAAAATAAAAATAAATTTAAATATTAACATTAATTATAAAAAATATTACTATATCGCTAAAATCTCTGGAGATATGATCAATATCCAATCGCAACAGTATTTCATTTTCCATTATAACTGTAGACAAAACAATAATTAGCACACAAAAAATTAATAATTCTAAATAAATAATTATATAAATATTATTTTAATAAAAATAACATTTACATAAATATATTAATAAAAATATAATAACTATTTAAAAAATACTAACGTAAAAATAAATTTCTTACCACTAATAACAAATTAAAACTCAAATAGTTGGAGAATTTGAGTTATATAAGAGAGAATATGATTTGGTGTGAAGAATGGGGAGGGTTGAGGGAGTTTATATAGGGGAAGAAGAGGGGTAGTTAGGGAAAACGGATAGGGTATTTATGACATTTAATGGAAGGCGCGTCCTCGGGGATGCGCCTTCCACACGTGGCAGTTAAGTCATCAGAATCCCGTGAAGGCGCGTCTCCGGAGATGCGCCTTCCACACGTGACATCTAACTCAGCGAAAACACGGGTAAATCGTATCCCCGGGGACGCGTCTTTCTCCAACTCAACCGAAAGGGTGTCATTTCGAAAAATATATATTAAACGAGGCTAAAAAAATAAATATTTGATAAATATATATCGGTCAAATCGCCGTTTTTGGATTTATGCGTGTAATTGCGTGCTTGGAACTCGAAACCTACACATCGCACTTCGCACGTTAGGGGCATCAAACCTACTTTATGCCTTTCCATTGATGTTACTAGGTGTATATAAAGCTTGATCAAGTTTTGGTTTCGGTCCTTGTAGTATGCTAAAATTTGAAACTTAGGCACCAGATTTTAATTTGACATAACTTGATCATCTTATTTTTTACAATGTAATTAGTAGTGCCATTGATGCCCTTGAGTTGATTGCAAGGTTGAGGCCACATGAACTTTGGGATCTTAAATATCATGTATATGTTCTCAATCTGCATTTTATTTTGATTTAAGACGTACCATGTCAAAGTGTCGACATAAAAATATTATTTAAAAGCACGTTGAAGTGTTTGATTGACATGTAAACTTCTTACTGGATTAAATTGTTTGATATGAATTCCATTAATAACATCCATAGAACATTTAGTTAATACGTAAGATTTTTGGGTGGAAAAAGATTCATGTCGACGTTTTAACGGAACAGTTAATAGTGTTAACAATTTACACTAACTAATAACATTATAAATAAGAGGACAAACTATATATCGAATTAAAAAACAGGGATTAAATTTTAACATAGTGAAAGGACCGAAATCAAGTTTTGATCGATGGCTTCAAATAAATTACATGCGTCACTTTCCTCTCCAGTTCATAGAAATGGATGGATATACTTCATGTAAAGCACCATCGCTGAAATATGTACCAGGGGAATAGAATAGTCGAAAATATCATTTCAAATAATGTTGGACCGCAAACTTTCCTAACTGTGATTATATTTACAAGATTTGAAGATAATATATTATTAAATCGGTCAATATCATCACATCTTATTATAGTAATTCGGATTAAGAAACCATCTGATTAAATTTCAGATGATCTTTTAAATGATTCTTTATACATTGACCATGAAATTAATGATGAAACTTCTTCAAAGAGTTCCATTTTTTGGCAAGGGATTCCATAAGTTGGTTTTAGTTTAAATTTATTATGGTGTATTATTTTCGGATACAAACAGATTTATAGATGGATTAAATTAGATTATAATAGAATAAGTAATATTTATTCGTAAGCTAGATAAGAAATTAACAAAGATGAAATTACTCACATATATTCTTAAATAGAGTTAAGTCGTGAAAATTTTACATTATCCTTATCAAATAATATAGTTAAAATGAAACCCTAAGGGTGCGTTTGGTTCACGGAATGTAAGATTACCAGTGGGAATAAAAGATTAACAGGGAATAGGATTACTGGGAATGTTGTATTTTGTGTTTGGTTGGTTTAGCAAGAATGTAAGATT